CTTAAGGGATAATTTCCGGGATAAAAATTATCCTAGGGTCCCAGGGTCACAAACTATCTTCTTACCAAATGTTATCTAAATCGGTGCAGTAGCACAATTTCACAAACTCACAAACTTTACCTCTTTATAATATTAGTAGGTACAGATATACAAAACTTTAAAAGCAAATATCTCTAGGTTTCCCTTTGTTGTCTCGCTTTAACTTCTTGAATATTGTAAACATCTTCAAGTACTAAAAAATTATAAATTGTAAAATATACGTACACATGACGAGCACTTCTGGATGAACTAAATTCATAAATCTTGACTAACATACATATACCTATTCAGCCCTTTTTAACGTCCCACTGCTGGGCACAGAACTCCCTTCAATATGAGAGGGATCAGACCCCTTTAGAAATAACTAGATAAGTTCCTTCAGACATGCAGGTTTCCTCACGATGTTTACCTTCACCGTAAGACACGTGTTAATCATGTTGGACATGATTCGCACATGAAAATATCAGAGTTGCGAGACCTGAGATTTGAACCCGCTTCACTCGGTTTCCCAAGCGCGACCACTGGGCTACCACTACCACCACTGTTACTCATCATACATCATACACATGATGGCTTTTTTTCCTATCTTTTTTTTCATATCGCGTTATTTACATGGTGAAGGCGTTAAAAATTAATTTATAATTTAATCTTTTTGGCATTTTATAAACATTAGATTTTATGATAAATATCAAGGAAGAGCTGGCAAGTTGTTTTGATAAAAACAGTATTGTTAAATGCTATATAATACTAGCAGTACCGGCGGCTTCGCCCGCGCCCAAACTTCCGATCGCTAATAAAATTCACAGGATCACCCGCTGGGCTAATCTGAAGATTATCTGCAATTTCATCAAAATCGCTGCAGCTGTTTTGGAGTCCATAGGAAACATACATACACACATCGATTTTTATATTATTTAATCAACAATTTAAATTTATGTATTGCTCGGAAAATAGAGTCTTTATGAAAATTTTGTGACACCGACTGCAGCGCCACCTATTGGGTCCCCCGGGTTGTGTTTTCAAACCATCCAAGAGACCATTGAAATATACTTAGGAGTATGAAATATACGTATATAATATATTTAGGAGGAGTAGGTTAACAAATACACGTACAGAAGAATTATATTATATATTAAGATATTTGAAAATCGAAAGGTCAAAACTTAAAAGGTCAATTGTAATGTTTTACATGTATGTACATATATGTATATGTATGTATTTGGGTTCTGTCCTTACGTAAGGACTTTTAGTTAATAAAATAAGTATCAATGCCATTCCGCCACATATTTGGATTTTTTTATTAAGAACATTTTTTTCCTTTTTCAATCTATGAATAAAAAATAATCGTAGTTTAATAAATAATCATAGTTTGCCATCCATCTATCTGCCTTCACAATTGTTCAATGTCACGTGGCACAGTAAATTATGCTTAGCTAAAATGTTTAAAATGGCTTAAAAGATATTAGAAAAAAACCGACTGCATAAAAACTAACTAAAAAGAGGAGAACTAGTTGACGAAGGAATATTATTATTATTAATTATTAGTATTACTTGTAAATTTTGTTTATATAAAATAATATACATATATAATAGGTATATATGAATCATCGTCATCACCCTATTGAGATATAAATCGATAGATCAATCATTACTCTGATTTAAAAATCATTATATAATAATCATAATTTAAAATAATATACTCCCGACCATAATCTCAAACTGTAGTCGTGATCAAGTTTAACAACTAATGACTAATTGACGGCTCGATAACTCATTAAGAGGAACTCACTTTACCTTACCAGTCCTTTAAAATTTTCATCAGTAGGTACTTTTGATGACCTAATGAAATCGATGTAGTGGAATTGGCCTTTAGTTAATTAACGCGTGTGTAAAGCTATCCAAAAAGTTGTATGGAAGTCGCACTCAGAAATGTAAATACTAAACATTTATTTTCATAAAAATTGCACGTGATTACTTATCTAATGTCATTTAATATACAATTTATCTTGTATAAGCCGTACTTAATATTATAAATGCGAAATTAACTCTGTTTGTCAAGTCTATCTGTCTGTTTGTTTGTTACGTTTTCAAGCCTTAACCAATTGTGATAAAGTTTGGTATAGAGAGGGATGGGACCTTTTTAAGAGGACATAGGATACTCTTTTGTCGCAAAAATGAACTTCAAAGAGGTGAAATAAAGTTTGTATTGGGAACAAATCATTTTTCAAGTTAAATACAAAAAAACTCATTATATCTTATAATTCTGATAAGAAATAAAGAATATTTTACCATTTATAGCCAATCAAGGTAAATTAGTGGAGGATTTCAAGTTTAAAATAAAGTACTTATCTACTTTTCTATACATTTGTATGTATATATTATAGTCTTAAGTTATAACCAAATCTCATAGCAACATGTTCTTATTGACTCGCAGACTCCAGACGTGTCTGTTACTTAGTTAACTGCTCGCGTTATCAATTGCAAATTATGCAAACTCTCGCTTCCAACGTAAATTGTTGACTTAGCTTTATCCGGCGAATATACGATTATGCCCTCTCGCCATGTTGAATTTGAAACAGGAATTATACTTAAGTTATTGGAATGGCAGCTATCGCTGGATAGCATGCTGAGCTTGAAAGATTATGTTGCTGTTTTTTAAATTAATATTGTCGGTAATTCAAGGGAATATGCGAAGAATCCAGAAATTCAATTAACACCAAAATAAGTATCGTACATCACAAAAATAGAACACAAGGTTTCGCTGTCGAGATAATAACAATCTTATTTTAGTTCGCTACAGAGAAACTTGCTTGTTCAAACTAAAAACCCAAACTTTCACTCTACGATGCTCCAGACTTTGAGCAAATCCAAACAAAACGAGGTAGTTTAGAACAAGTCTCGGCTAAAGTAAAATAAAAGTAGGTGGAAGAGCAACGGAAATTCCTTTTTAACTTGCAAAGTAAATATGTGTGTTGATTTGATATTTTTTCTTATATTTGCACTTAGATTATGCAGCTGTGGAGACTGTTGGCTTTTTCTTTTTAGTTTCTATTAAAATACACAATATTTTTATCATCTGACGGAAAAAGTTCAGGTTTTTAAGCGACTTCAAAAATAAGAGGTTATCAATTCGACACGTATGTATGTATGTGATATTATCGGAATTGCAAAATATTCACATATGGATAATCTAGTAGGGCTTCCAAACAAATATATAAAATTTTATATTTTAGTATGTACGTATGATTGAAACTAGTAATCGGATCGTGATTATTGTTTTCCTATTTGTTTACATTTATTTCGACTTAGAGAATAGTAAAGATTTCATCAATATCGGTTCAGTATTTTTTTATGGTATGGACTTTACATGTAAAGGCCTGACTTATTGATACGAGCTATGGGTATGGTGTCAAAGGGAAAACATTCAAAACCTTTGTCAAATTTTAGTGTGCATGGAAGATCAAAATGGCCGAAACCAAACTGGCCTCGCGATACAAATCCGCGGCGAAAACTAAAAATTAATAAGATGGCCGGGCTATCCAATACGAGCTACGGGAGTGGATTATTATTACTCAATAGCGATAATTTAGATGTAGCTGTAGGCTATTATAGCACTAGGATTTCTACGTAAACGCAACATTTTTCTTGATATGCTCTCAGATCGTGAGGTTGTGTTAAAAGTTTGTTGGGATCTAATTCATCTATGGCAAGGCCATCAAGCATCTTAACCCTACTCAAAACAACATAAACTTGAAAAAAAATTTAAATATTAAAAAAAAACAATTACTACTTATTACAAAAACTATTTCAGTTCTTACTTAAAATTACTAAAAAATACGAAATAAAAAGTGGGTAATTTAAATAAAATTAAACCGATTACCAGGCAATAAAAAGTAAAATTAACTGAACAGGGGTATTTAATTTACTATAGATAGTAGATACCTAATCAGATATTTTTGTGATCCATGATTAAGTACCTCTATAGTAAATGAAAACCCTGTTGCAATTTTTTACTTTTTAGTGCCTGGAATTCGGTTTTTTTTTCAGTCGGTTTAATTTTTTTAAATTACTTTTTAATATTATTTTATTTCGGGGACATATTTTTGGTTAAAATGTGTGTACGAAAAATAATAAAAGTGTACTTTTAAAGAAAATTGTTTTAATAAATATTATTTAAGTAGTTATAGTTTTAGATCGAAAATAATCGTCGTTTGTCGGTTGAATAGTAGTTTGTATTATTTAAATAAATTATACCTACAACAAAAAGTTCAGATTAGTTATCTAGAGATTATGGTCTAGGAATCAATTTAAAAAAGTATTGTAAAAAAATAATCTAAAATTTCTTTAACTAACTTAATATCAATTAACTTATGTTGTAATTATTTATTTCCTTTACCTACCACATTAAAGGTGGTTCCCAATAACCTGTTTATCTGACGTTTTCTTTACTAGACATTTGGCATAAGTTTCATACAAATTATGTTAAATTAAACCACAGAGGGAGAGAGAGGGATCTACCGTAAATCGTATGCGTAATGCCTTGCCCTAATTTGTAAATTTCAAAGCCTAGCAACCTTGATCCCGACCGATGATTGGCCAATACTTTTTACTTTCAACGAATATCAAATTTGTTTTTTAAAACGTTTTATTTTTTGGTTGTTCAAAGTTAGTCTGACCAAGTTTCTTTGGAAGATCGATCTTATGAATTATTTTTAATACCAGGTAAATAATTTTTACTCGGAGAGTTGGTGGAAATTCAACTGAATAAATAAAAATTGACGATCTTGTAAAAATAATTGGAGAAAAAATGTACATAATAATTTGACTACTGATTCTTGATTTTTGCTATTATATATTAGATTGTAATAAGTACATTAAAAGTCTGAAGTCTATATATTGTGTTACAGTTTTACGGTCAAGACTGTTTTTCTAATATTTAATATATTTTTCTTTTGTTTTAGTGGTCACTGGCAGTACAGATGGCATCGGAAAGGAATACGCCAGACAAGTTTGTACCCAAAAACTTTTTAAAACCTTAATATACCTATATGTTTTATAAAACAAAGTCGGGTTTGTTACAAAACTTATAACGGAGGAGGAGAACGGCTGGACCGATTTTTATGATCTTTATTTTGTTGGATTGAATTTGATTTTGTTGATTATTGAAACCTCGGAAAAATTCACGAAAAAAAATCTATTCCTTACTAACCGTCAAAACGTGCCTAGGGACGAACCTGAGAGAAGCGAGGGTGAGTCGCTAGTAGTGTATAAATTAACTTCACAATATTAACTTATTGATGTAAAATTAAACTAATTTGCGGTTTCTTCCAGAGGAAAAACATTGTAATTAATTATTAGAATTAGAAAAAAATGTTCAATTTCAGTAGATAAATTCTAAGTTCCTTAGAAATTGCGACCAAATTTACTACTCATGAACGAATTGTGGTTAATTCGTTCATGTTACTACTATATACAATATAAATATTTTGCCAGCTGCGTTGTTTCAATCAAAGATAGAAGATACTCTTGAAGGGTGAAATTTTGGAAATAGATTTGAATGATTGTTAAACGAATTTGGATAAAACTTGGTCCATTTTGATCCTAGTAATTTTTTAACGATAAAATATTGAATTTTAAAATGTTGTACATATTAATAAATAGCACTTTCCAAGAGAAAGATATAAAAAGGAAAGCTAGTCTAATATATAAGAAGATAAAAGTATTTTTCACATTGGTATTATAGCATTCAATGCAACAGCTGAAAGCATTTCTAACAGAGCGGTGCTTGTAGTAAATTTACTGTCATTTCCAAGATTCTAAGAAATGAGGTGTATAATATCAGTCTTCTTATATTGCCTGCATTGAGTTCTACTCTTTATATTTATGAATCCGTAGTCTCTAAAAAAAATCTGTCAAATATATAATGTTTAAAGGTTTAGGGTCAAGGGTTTGATGCTCAATTGTGTCGAATGTTTGAATAGAACAAAAGGGCACAACCCAGTGTAGTTAAAACAAAGGTGAAAAAACCAAGGTCCTATCAGGCTGCTAGATGTCATCACTTAACCCGAAAAAGGTGACGGTATGAAAACAAAAAAAAAAAGGATTTGAAGTCAAAAAATAAATTAAAAACCTAATATGTATTAAATCCAAAAGATTTAGATTTGTAAGAATCTAGATTCTAGAGCAATACGCCACTATGGATTAGTAGAATTAGTTGACAATCAATTCTACTAAATTTACTTTTTAACCGACTTCCAAAAATGAGGTTCTCAATTTGGATGTTTTTATTTTTTTTGGATATGCAAATTTCTTTTTGTTGCTTTATTCCGAAAAGAGCTTTATTCCGAAGTGGTCCCATTTAAATTTAAAAGAAAAACCACTCTTAAAGTGTAGAAGATAGGGGTGAATGAATTTTCACCTACTAAACTTTGAAAACACTTTTTGTCTTATTTTGCCTACTACTACTCCTATGTCTACACTATGCCTGCTGATCATACAAACTAAACAAAGTAATAGTAAATGAAAACTACAAATCAGTTATTTTTTTACTTTTTAGTGTTTTTTTTTTGAATTCGGGTTTTTTCAGTTTTTTTAAACAGAGATTGGATAAAAACTACCAGTAGTAGATTCAATTCGTTCAATAATATCATTATCAATATATGCACAATGCTCATACATACATTATAATTATTGTAAATTGTTATTATTGAGTTATTTATAAAGGTTGCTTTAAATATATTTTCATATTTATTCATTACTTCTCAATAACACTTGTAAATGATTGAAATTATTCAACATTAAGTGAAGTGGATTCAATTATTTATTATAATATTTTAATGTGTAACTTGGGAATATTAAATCGTATCGCGAATAACACCCACGCTTAAAACGAAGGCCATAGTGTATACTCATTTGATTTACATAAATATTATAGACATGCTATATATTTAATATGGCAAAACTTAGAGGAAACACACTTAAGGATATCGGAAATGACCAAAAATAGTACTGATACGAAGAAAGGTCGTCTCGTCTGTCTTTAAGAACGCGCCATGAAACAGCTACGATTCGGATTCGGAGGAGCGGATATGACAAGATAATGTTCTATTGTGAGTAAGAAGTAGGTACAGAGCGATAGATGTTCACCGTATTTAAGCGCCAAACAGTTTTTAATTCACTATAAATTAATGAAACAACCAATCGAAACATAAAATTCGATAACTGAATACTTCCTGACATAACAAAAATCCTACAAAAATAGTGAGCAGTTCCTGAGACAAATGACAATATGTGTGCAAAAAATGTATTTTAAAACAAAATATTATCGAGAAAATTTTCACCAATCGTGTTTTCAAGTTTGGCAATTCAAGATAAAAGTCTGAAGTATCATTTCCCTAAATATCAAAGTGGTAACTTTCACAGATTCTGAGTTAAATAAAGATGTCTAGATACAAAATTGCACACTCTTAAGGCTATTTGATTCGATACATATATATTTTATACCTAGAGCAATTTCCCATACCATCGCACATTGCACAAATAAATTGCACACTCCCATTACCGTCGCACAAATAGGAATCTGCGCTCGATTAAAAGACAAAACAAGACGTCAAGGCAGTTATGTTATAATACACGAAAAGTGAAGAATAGAATATACTGAACGTACTAAAATCTTTTGTAAACTTAAAAGTGTCTAAAAATTAACATATGTATAAACAAACTCATTTTCGTATTGACATTATTTGTTAGTTTGTCTTTAAAGTTAGTAAGTTATATTTTTTTACAGTTGGCGGCACGTGGCTGTGATATTATTCTAGTCAGTCGTTCTATGGATAAGTTAAAAGCAACTGCATCTGAAATAGGTAAATTTTAAACCCACTTAATTCTCTACTACTACTACTACGTACTAATCTGTATAGAATATTATGTGAAAGTTTGTGTATGGATGTTTGTTATACTTTCACGCCAGAACGGCTAAACGAATTTGGATGAAATTCGGCACAGAGATAGATTATATTCTGGAATACCATATAGGCTACTTTTTATCCCAGAAAAATATACGGTTTCCGAGGGATAAATTTGTTTTTAGTTTTTCCGGAGGCGAACCCGAGTGAAGCGAGGGTGAGTCGATAGTATACTATACAAATAAAAAAAAATCATATTGTCAATATTAGGAATAGGTATACGTATTAATAGCAATTATTAAAAAATGTATTTATAAATGACACATATTTTCAAATGTTGATTTTTACACGAGACGTTTTAACGAGTATTTTTTTACAGAAAATGACTTCAAAGTGAACACTAAAATAGTACAAGCAGATTTCTGCGAGAACGATAGCATTTACGATAAAATATCTAAGGAGATAGCTGATCTTGAGATAGGAACTCTGGTGAATAATGTTGGCGTTTCATACCCCTACCCTGAATACTTTCTGGACATACCCGATTGGTAAGTAATTTTAACTTTAGTTTATTAATTAAAATAGCTTTAACCTTCTGTTGTCTGATAAGAAACAAAATACAGTATTACCAGTGAGTCCCGCCTTAGTCTTTTAATTTTATTTTCGTTTTACATTGAATATTCAAATTGTACAACCTCTTCCAGTTCTTTTTATTAAATCTCTAATTTCTTAAGACTCTAAAATATAAAAGTATTCACTAAGGAACCTTTGCGCTTATAATGTAATAGGCTACCTATAAACACACACAACAATTTCCAATTCATCATACACTGAATACGTTTTGTAAGAATTTTCATCTGGAAAGATATTAGCTTTGACTACAGTTACAAACATATTTAGGATGTTTTAACTATAGTTATTGGGTTATCTTCACTTAAAAATGAACAAGATTATACATATATTGTCAAGTTATATGAGTCTGGGCTATGGCCTGATCTCACTCATATTGAAGGGAGGCCCGTGCTCAGTAGTGTGACGTTAAAAAAAGGCTGAATACAATGATTTTGGATGTAGACGAACTAAGTCTGCTGTTTCGTTGTTGATAGGAATTATCTTATTTATAAAAATCTACATTGTCCTTCAGATACAGACATAGAGTACGTTATAATCAGATATATCATGTGATTCCCGTGAGATATTATAAATAGTTACTAATTGATGTGTGGGGATGTAATGAGTGAAGCGAGAGCAGGTTGTATCCATACAAAGTTTAATTTTATATATAAATTTGCTTATTATATAAATCACTAGAACTACCCGCGGCTCCGCCCGCGTTCAGATGACCAAAAACCAAATTCTTAGGTTTTACATATTAGTATACTCTTACAATGCAGTTTTTGTATTTTTTCTCAAAAATGACATTTTTTCCTGACATCCTATATGTTAACCCGGATTACTAGCTATCATGATACCAAATTTCATCAAAATCTGTCCAGTGGTTTTCTCGAGATGCGGTAACGGACAGATAAAAATTCTATAAACTATAGATTCGGACTCTGTATCGATAATAATGTCTATTTCAATTAGATTTTCCAAAAAATATTTAATGTACAGATTCGACTTACAATTATATTATATGTATAGATATGTGATATTAAAATGTATATATACCTACCTGTCGTAGCCCTAGTAGCCCTATGGAAATAGCACTTAGTATTTTATTTGGGTTATTCTCCACTTAGATAAAGTGAGAAGTCAATGTCTTCCCCACTCCCTTATTCAAGAAGTAAAAGAACTTCCTAAAGGAAGTAACTTTACAAAATTATTGAAATTGTTATTAGTTTAGGTAATAACAGGATTTCTTTAATGTTTATCTTACTAATATTATAAATGTGAAAGTTTAGATGGATGTTTGGATGTTTGTTATTCAATCACGCCAGAACGGCTGAACGGATCTGGATGAAATTGGGCACAGAGATAGATTATTTTATCAACAATAATAATAATATTCGTACAAGCATGTACGGTTCCCGTGGGGTAGATTTGTTTTTGTTCTTCTAGAGGTGAATCCGAGCGAAACGAGTGTGAGCCGCTAGTATATCTATAAATAAAAAAAACACTACATAGTTCAGAACAGAAAATAATGTACATTATGTAGATGTATTTAATATTCCAAAAAAGAGGACTGTCTCGTTTCTTTGGACGCTATTTTTACGAAATTAAAAAGTTCTTTTAATACAAGCCTTATTTAACTAACTTCCAAAAATAAGGGGGTTCTATGTGTGTGCATATTTAACTTTTTATTATACAATGTTCAATGATTTCGAAAATATCTGTTTAAGTATCCATAATAAATGAAAACCCCCGTTCAGTTATTTATTTACGTTTTTTTTTCATGCTCTTGTTATAGTAGGTATACTAATTGACTTAACTGCCTCGGTGGTGTAGTGGCTAGCATGTACAGCAGCGCACTCGGAGGTCCTGGGTTCTAGTCCCGGGTCGGGCCAAGTTTAGTTATTGAGTCTTTCTGTATAGTAAGTCTCAGTAACAGCCCGGAGTTGGGAAGTTGGCGGTGTTTCACCCCCGTGCCTCGGAGAGCACGTAAAGTCGTCGGTCCTGCACCTTAACTCTCACTGGTCGTGTCGAGTGGTCGTCCCACTAGAGTATGAGAGTGACAGGAATAGAGAGTGCACCTGTGTCTGCGCGTACACTTGTGCACTATAATATCTCCTGCGCAGTTGGCTAGACTCAATGAGATTGGCCGCCGTGGCCGGAATCGGCCAGGAGAACATCAGCATCATTAATTGACTTATTTTTTTTTTATAAATAAATAAATGGCGCAATTATTTTTTAACTACATATTTAGCAACTACTTACTGTCGACCTTAACAACCTTTGCGCCGCGTTATATTACTTCAAATCCGATATTATTGTAAGCCTAGAAGTTACTAGTAACCTCACACAGCTCCATTCGCGTGCTTTTTTAAACATGATATTTAAATTCAAAATGTTTTTTTCTGCATTAAATCATTACATTTTTTACTGAATGTCTTTAGTATACCGCCAGTTAGGAAAGGAAAAGGCTCAGTCCTGATATTTCCGACAATACAAGTGTTACATAATATATTGTATCAAAAATCTAAAATTTTAGTCAGGTGATCATAAATATACTGCTACTAAGAATTTATTAATAGAGAAATCTAATAACTACACTCGGCCATGCTGGGACTCGAACCCAGCACCTCCATATCTGCAACTGTATACGTTGTAGCCACTGGACCAACGAGGTAGTTTACTTGTACCTATAGAAATGTAACACTATCAAAAATTTTACCTACCCTATTTTTTTTTTTTTTTAATATTTGGTCTGGTTTATAATCTGCACAGTGCATACATAGGGGTGATTATGTGGGAATCAATGGCTAGAAAAACAAGTACTACCCATTACCCACTAAAACCCAACGGAAGCACATTATGTATTGGCCCTCTAGCTTAAGCTGTTTGTACTGGGCGTTTTTCAATCTTCCAAAAGAACATATAATTTTTTATATTATACGTATATAGATATACAATTATATAGGTATACAATTTCTATTGTTGAAAACCTTACGAAAATCTATACTGTAGTTTCTAAGATTAAGGCGAAGAAACGCAAACACTTAACCAATTTTCGTATGCATATTATTTTTAATGTATTTATTTTATGGATTCAAACGGTAAATGACGAGGAAATGTAAAACGATCATGTTTTTATTTTATTAATTACATTTTTACAAGAAGTCATTATATTTTATTAATTACATTTTTACAAGTTTTAATTACATTATTTTATTATATTTTTCCTTAAATATTAAATCTTCTCACACAAAATGTCTCAAAACCTGTTCGTTTGTATTCAAATAAATTTTGAGAATCAGTGGTAGTGAGAATTTTCCTAGTATGAAAATATATAATTATATATATTATGACGAAACGTTTGGCTCAGGTGGCCCTGACCCTACTTGCTGTGCCAGCAGTCGCGGGTTCCAGTCCCGCTGTTTGTACTCCAGTCATGGGTGTTTTTTATATTTATAATGTGTATGTATTTAAAGTTATATATGTGCAGTGTATCAACTATCTGGTATCCATAACACAAGCCTCGTAGCTTATGTGGAACTAGATGGCGCTGTGTGTAAATGTCCCAACATATTTATTTATTATTTATGATAACTCAAGACGATTTTTTATATTCGCTTATTGGGGAAATAACATGCTCAAAATTATGTGACCTACCGCTAAAGTATCAATTTGTCTAATGTAATAGGTTTTATGATTTTAGTTAGGATAGGTATATAACCTATGCGGTGTACCTTGCGGGTTGCTCCTGGTAGGTATATAACCTAACGTCTATGCGGGTTGCTCCTGGTACTTCTCTGATAGCAGAGTGGACCGTTGGAGCAAACCCCATGGATGATGTGGTTTTATTGCGGGAGGGCTGCCATCGGGGCGTCATGATTGAGTGCGTAAGTGACCCTGCGAAGCCCCATTGAAACAGGGGAGGTTCTGTTGAGTTTTAGTGGGTAGTACTGCCTTTTCTAGCCGGTGGTATGCGTAAATGCATTTCCCAACGTTAAAAAAAGGTAACCTAAGTACTAATTCTATTAAAGAATAAAATTAAACTACGTTTAAAAACCGACTTCAAACACTAATAAGTATAAAATAACTTAATAAAGATTTAATATAATATATACCTCTTATGCAAACCTGATATCTTTAATATTAATAAAATACTATTATTTGTATGTGCTTCCTATTGATAGGTTTGAATTCGGTGCCAAGAGAAATCTATACTAAAGGCACCGACTGCGGCGACTCCGCGACTGTTGTAGGACCAGAAGGAAACGATGTAATAACTAAAGACAGAGTAGACAGTAACACATGCTTTCGTATTTATAAAAATAAACAGATGCAAATATTAATTAGTTAATAGCTAATTTAAAACAAAAAAAAGAACAATATTTAAAGCTATTTTTCCATCGTTTAAAATGCTAAATATTTATAAATGTTTCACTGCAAATAGTTGCGTCTAATATCCAGCGATTGAAATTGAACGCAGTAAACCGCACCGCTCCAAACGATTTTCAAAGGTAGCAGGTGTTCAGGTATTGCTATGAAATAAGTGGAATTGAAATATTATACGCGGGTTATCGATGTCTAGTCCTTTGATAGAAATGTGAACTTCGATCGGTGTATAGGATTTTTTTGCTCACTACAATATGTAGGTACGTTTATTTGGAAATTCGATGTGTTAAAACAATTTTTTAAATGTTAATGTATTTCTTGTTTTTGTGTTTAGTAATTTAAATTATCTACAACAGATAAATAAAATTGAAGTGTCTATTTGTAATAACAGCTTTTTGCTAAATCCATATGAAATTACATACACGGTACTTATAAGAAAAACACAACTTTCAAAATTTTTGTCTGTCTGTTTGTTCTGGCTAATCTTCGAAACGGCTGAACCGATTTTGACGGGACTTTCACTGGCAGATAGCTGATGTTTAAGGCGTAACTTAGGCTACTTTTATTTAATAAAAAGGGTTAAGTCCCTAGGGACCTAGCGACATTAAAATTTAAACAATGAGATAAATTTGAACATAATCTTTTATATGATTTCTAACAATATAATTTGTGTATTCCTTTAATATGCATGTTAGGTTACTAATAATTCGCGTTATGCTTTCTAAAACTTTCTTCCAAAACTTTCAATTACTTAGCTATCTCTTCAAGACCCACCTATATTTCGATTAGAAAACAATAAAACCTCTTTGATTTACAGGCAATAAACTCACGTTATCCAAAAATTTGTACTCGTTCATAATAATATATAACAACTTTTTATTGAATTGAGAGCACAAAACACTAATCCTAAAGTGGATGGAATAAATGGCGTTGCCTTGAAACTAATTTAATTTTAATGTTAAAAATTTGATACATACATCGTTATAAAATATAATAGGATTATTAACATTTTTATCAACAGGGAACAATGTATTAGCAATATATTCAAAGCTAATGTAGTATCTGTTACGCGGATGACGGGATTGGTGTTGCCCGGCATGGTCCAGCGGGGAAAGGGAGTGGTCATCAATATTGGTTCCGGATCAGCTATCATACCGTCACCTCTCCTCACCGTATATGCGGCTTCAAAGGTACTGTAATTTTTTTTTTGTATAACGTATCATCTTGCTCCTGCATATTTTCCTAAGTACTTGGGGTCGGCGCAGTATGTCTTCCATATAGCTGATCGGTTGAGCTACAATGGACCAAAACTGGTCGACGTAGCTAGGGCCGACCTCGGCACCACACCCAACATTAATAATAATAATAATAATAGCTGATCGGTTGTGGCAATGATTTTATGATCGGCCGTCTGCCTGACATCAACTCTCTTTAGGAATACTATATATGTTTTGTGTAGTATAAAACATACTTAAAAGCATTTATAGCCTTTGTACCCTGACAAATCATCATTTAAGTTGCCACCATTAGTGATGAAGAAGAAGGGATAAAAAGCAGGGCTGTGCTAGTATTTTAGGTCTATATTCTGTAAAAGTGTACTTTCCCATATTTGCACTAAAATTTTGCGTAAAATCATAATATTAATAATATTTTTAGCTATAGAATATTGTAAATATTTTCATTGTTAATGAAAATGACATGATAGTGTTTTCAGCACATATATTTAAGATATATAGATTTTACATAATTTTAGTTTTACATATTAAAAATATGAAGGATGTCGATAACAGTAAATGAAAGTAAGTATTTCTTTTCAGGCTTACATGGATAAGTTTAGCGAGAGTCTCAATATGGAATACTCTAAAAAGGGCATTATGGTACAGCACGTTTACCCCGGATTTGTCTGTTCCAAATTGTCTGGCATACGCCGCAGCAGTTTCTTCGCTCCCAGTCCTCACGACTTTGTCAAATCTGCTATCAACTTAGTTGGAGTGACATCCAATACCACCGGCTATTTCCCTCATACTTTCGGCTTCTTCATGATAAACTTAATGTGTGGAATTGCAAATCGCTTTACCATTTGGTTGACCATGCGCACCATGGAAAATACTCGCAGAAAGGCGCTCAGAAAGTACAAAAAACAATAATTATTTTGGTCTTATGGGCAATACTAATGTGTACATAATTTCGCACTTCCTGCATGCTTGCCAAAGATGTGCTTGTTAATACAAGGGCAATATATTCCATTGTTTTGTTGATTAGTTCGGTTTAAACAACTTTTACAATATATTTTTTTCCATCTCTGTTGTCCTAAAATTTTCCAAATTTTCCTAACTAATGCTTTTCTAAAAATCTTGACTAATTCTTACAAATTTAATAAAATTTACTATTTTATTATCTGCTGTGATGAAGCCCGTTTTACAATTTTGGGACAACTGAGAATAACTGTACATGGTGTGATAATTTGTCAAATTGTGTTTCTTTCACAGAACAAATATTTTAAATTAATTGTTTTTATTTAACAATATAGAATTTAAACCGGTTTAGATATAATATTGAGGCACTGATAGTCGAATCTGTACAAAAAGGTGCCGTTATATAACTAGATTTATAAAAAAAAATACCGGAAGAACCCACGTAATATAGATATTACTTAGTGAAGTGAGCCATTATTTTCCATCCACAACTTGTGTGCGTCAAAACGTATGGCTTAAGCGTTATATCAACGTAAAAAACATTTTCACATAATAAAGTATACTATAAATATTCATGCCATGTACAAAATTCGAATTGAATTGAAAAAAAACGTCTTCATTTTTTAATTAAGGCTGTTAATAATTTGAATTTAGACGTTCTTTAGTCATTTATTTATATTTCAAAGGAACTAGTTATTATTTATAATGTATGGGAATGTACAAGTTTTTGTAGTAATTAAATGGTGATAAACTATATTGTCTTTTATTATAATGGCTTTGGTGCAGGTTACTTGTTGTTATGGTGTAAATATTTCTAAACTATACATATGCCTACGTTTTTTATTCAGATATATCTTATATGTAGCCCTACAAAATTTTCAATCTGTCAGTGAAAATCCCATTACAATCGGTATAGTCGTTCCAAAGATTGACATACCATACCCCGGACAGATAGAAAGACGGACAAAAAAAAGACAAAAATATTAAAAATAATAAAAACGGCTGTTATCTGAACAGCCGTAACTGGTATCATTTTCAATAACTCTATGTACTTTAGAAAACATAGTAATCTTAAAATTACTTTAATTTTATTACTTAATAATTAATTATATTTATAATATGTATTATATGCTAATGACAAAATCAAAGGCAAACTACAACTACGAGTATGTATCAATATGTATTGATAGGTTTTTAGAACGGTTTGGGTACGTAATGATTATTCAAAACAAATTAACTACCGTCTTTAAATTATTGAATGAATATTTTAATCTACATCGTAGCCAAGTGAAGCCGCAGTCATGTAATCCATACTAATATTATAAATATGAAAATTTGTGACAATGGATGTATGTTTGTTACTCTTTCACTACAGAACGGATGAACGGATTTGAATGGAATTTGGCACAGAGATAGATTATAGCCTGTAATAGCACATAGGTTACTTTTTACCCCGGAAAACTGTACGGTTCCTGTAGGATAGATTTGTTTTTGCCTAAAATAGCCTGGAGCAAGTTTTTGGTGACAAGCCCCCTGGGTCGTGTTTGTTAATATGTTTAAATAATAACAAACACGACACAGGGGGAAGAGAAGGTAGCATAAGCAGCAAAAACACGCTACTAATTTTGACTTAGAAATTTGTTTTGGCGGTTTCCACCTACATAATTCTTAAGCCTGAGGTTCAATTATGCTAGTAATTTTGACTTCTGGGCACTCATTTGCAGCGTACTTCAGTTCCCTTCACAAACTAAGTATATTCAGTTAATCTTCATGTAGTTACATGTGTACATATTAAATCGTTATGGTGATGGGTATTATATCATGTAATAATACCTTAATTTATTTATATTTTTTACAGGAATGCAAAAATTCAAGTGTGACGTCCGGACCGCTTTTTTGTTGTATGACCGATTCAATTAAAAATCTCAGATTAATTTGTACTTCATTGTTGTGTTTGTACATTAGTTTTATTTTGTTATATATTACATTAAGGATCAAAGTTTTATTAATTTGAAGGCAATTAAAGTATAATGTTATAATAATATTAATAAAATATGTTACTTAAAATTTTATAGATATATTGAAAAGCTATTTTTGAATAGATTTAATAAAAGGATGAGAAAGAAGACTGACTGACTGATTGTTTGATTGGACTGGCTGACTGATTGATTGATGATTATTCTTATGTTATATGTATATATATACCTATTGTTTTTATGTAACATGTAAAAAAAGTCTGTAAAAACTCTTTACGCTAAGATCTTGAAGGTTCGATATAATACCGTTTAAGTATGTCGACAATTAATAAAATAATAAATGTTTTTATTATTTTACATACTGCCAAGATGTTGAATAATTTTTGAAATAAAACTTCTTTAGGCGTGACTTAGGGGTAAGTCAATAAATACACAGGAAAAATGAGTGTCGCGGAAGTGAGACGAGACTCAAATTATAATTTTTTATTAAATTATATATTACCATAAATTATTATCAAAAATTTAAAAAGTATTATATGATATATTAATTATTTTATAATAATTTTATTACTTATATAAATAAAAATGAATATTTATCTATACATATTATAATAAAATAGTTAAAAAGTTAAATAACTTGGCGAAATCTGTACATGAAATAAGTATTTTCTTAAAACAATGACTGTAACCTATTGTGTAGAGAATATAAAACTAAACAATAGTTATTAAAAGTTTTGTCTGGTTGTATGTCTGTTTGTGTGCGCGCGTTTCACGCAAAAAGTATTGAACCGGTTTTAACTAAATTTTGTGTAGTGATAACTTATTATTCAGATCAATATTTAGGATACCTGTTACTACACGTAAATCTTTCATTTCCTCGGGAAAACTTCGTAACGGATTCAGTCGAGTCGTCCTTAGACACCTGTCTAACGCTGGTTAAACCTTAAGAGATTCATCAAAACAGTTTACTAGAAAATTGTTGGTCTTAAAAAGGCCTACAGAAATCTGCAATAACATAAGTCTATCTCCTATGGTACACTCGCAATTTACATTCAAAACGTAGGTACTTAGGGATGCACCCAAGCAAAGCGAGCGCTAGTTACTAATAAATTTTATTAAAATAATTATATTTATTTATTTTTTGTCTTAATTACGGTATCTGCTACAACGCCAAAGAAGTTTTACTTCAACCATGCGTAAAGGTCAGAAGCACTCATTTTTATTTAAGATAATTTATCATTAGTTCGTTTTATTGTTACCATAATTATTAAAATTTGATATGAAAAACTGTGTTTTTTTTATTTGCAATTCTTTGTACTTAGATGGGTATATAAACTTTTTATAATGAATGATCTTTTTAATTTTCATCTATCGATAAACAAATATCTAAATCTACGATCTTACCACAACATTGTCAAAAATCAACAGATTTTCACTATGTCAATAAAAAAATTGAAAATTTAAAGTAACAGAAAAATAGTCAAGCAATATTTAAAAATAAATAAATTATGAAGAATTAGAAGCAAAACCAAAAAAGGTACAATGTTTGTACCATAAAAGCGGAACATGGGTCGACAAAAATCTGACACATCGTGTGGACTTGATTTCAACTTGAACCAGCTTTTAATGATAATAGGTTCCATTGTCATTTTAGTTTTGCTTTTCCTCATTGTTTGCCATATTGTAAACGGGAGATAGAAAACAAATATTATGGAGAGAAAGAACGAAGTTTGCTACAACGTCGATGTTTTACAAGTACTGTTGATAGCCTTTGCATTTGGAACTCTCCTTTTGGTAATGAGTTGGATGTGCAAATATTTTCATGGAACATAAGCAACAAAATTGCTCAATACAGTCTATATTGCACTCTAAATCAATTCCTAGCTGTAATCGGGTCCACGATGGCCCTAACTCCTAGGTCTTCTGTTCACAGTAATATGTAACCTACTTATGGGTAAAGGACGACAATAACTAAATAATCTATGGCAGACGTACAGGATGATTCATTTCAACTTCTGCTTATTGGCTTCTCATTCGTACTATGGCTTATTTTAATGCAATATTTGTGTAAATATATGCAAGAATTGCCTCCGTAGTTGAATTTTCATATTACTGGGCACTTTGCGGGATACCGCATATTTTGAGATTGCCACAAACCAGAATGAAAATGTAATTACGATTCGCAATTCTGCTTGTTTTATGTCAACTATCTGAAAGTTTATTTTAAATTAAATTAATATTTGTATATATATATATATATATATGTTAATAAATAAAATTATAATGTGTGTTCCCATTGTTTAGGTACTTCTTTATATTGCCGTTTATGTATTTTGATTGATAATATTAAAAAAGGTATTGGTTTTTTTATTTAAAAAAATCTTATTTTTTTCACATTAAGAACTTCTTTTTAAGAACTAATTAAGTAACACAAATTTCAGATGTTATATACACGTATGAGATAATAAAAATATAACAATAAAAATCTTGTTAGCTATAATTGCCCACAGTAATACCCACAGCGTCAAAGTTCAAGCAGTCATAAAATCTTCACATAATTAATAATGTATTTTAATAACATTATACTAAATATTTTATTATTAGCATGGCTAATATATATTATGCCGATATTTAAAATGGTAATTTAAAAAATATATAAAGACTGACGGAAACATTTTTATATTTTTTTGAGTTATCTTAACGCTATTACAGAGACTATTCTCTAGTCTATACTATAAATTTATCGTCTAAAATGTTTAAAACAAAAGACTTTTCCCTTTTACTGCATATAATTTGGACAAATGGTTAAAGAGATAATACAACATATTCGTAGGTATGGACGAACCCGAGCAAGCTTTTTGTCTATTTTTCTGTTTGTACGGGCTAATCTCCGAATCTATTGAACCGACTTAAATGAAATTTTGCATGGTAGTACCTTATATCCCCGGTCAACATCTAAGATACTTTTCATTCCAGAAAATTAAAGAGTTTCCGTGGGATAGTTCAAAAACTATAGTAACTTATACAGCTTAGTACACAACAACTTATGCACCTAATTTCGTAAAATTTGGCATGCTGATACCTTATATTGCCGGTCAAACAATAGGTTACTTTTCATCCCGGAAAAATGAACTGTTCCCGCGGGATAGATCTGTTTGCGCTTTTCTTTAGTTACTATTGCTATATATATATATATATATATATATATATATATATATATATATATATATATATATATATATATATATATATATATATATATATATATATATATATATGGCAATAGTAACTAAATAAAAAGTTTTGTTCTTACTTCTTCCCGGAAGTGGACTAATTATTGTCGACGTACCACGCACGCTGATCCGTAGGTGAAAATTAGTGCTAACTTGTGCTAAGTAAAATATCTGTAGATGTAGAATATATTAAGATGCGCTTGATTAATATTTATAATTTAATGCACTTCACAGCAGTACTGAAATCCTTTTAATGCTTTTTTAAATAAAATCCTTTTAATGCCTTTCTAAAGAATCCAAGGCACATTTTTTTTTAATTTATGATAAGTTTTAATATTGTTATATTGGCTAGAAGACTAAGCTTTCATATAAGTATTTATTTTACTAATAACTTATGACTATTAATACTAATATATTACATACATATATATTTGTACCTTGTTTTCGTACCTGAAAAGAACAGTTCCTTATGATTACTCATCTGTCTGTTCGTCTTATCATTACAATTTTATTCGTATCTAGGTACAGAAAAGAAGTACCTACTATCGAAGATAATGGGTCTGGATTATTTTACAGGAAAAATATATAGAAATCGCCTGTCTTCTAAATCTGATTATGTACTGTAACACTCAAGAATACTGTCAACATTCTACTGTACAACACACATCTTATTTAAGATTTGATCTCCCTGAAGTAATGAAGATTGCTTATATGAAAATTGCTATTGCCTACCCGCTTGCGAGATTGGATTTGCTAAGACGGTAATTCAATTTAATAATTGACTTTATCTAAGCACGACACTCTGAAAACAATGAATATACACACAATTGAAACTAATGTTAATAATTTCAACCGAGATTAAAGTTGTGAAAAGTATCAATTTAGCTGAATTTAGTCTATTTACTTGTTTGCCGATTTCAACGTTTTCTTTTTATTGAATGAACTTCGAAGATGCCAACCCTTGTCAATACGGAATAATATTTTTTGGTTGTTGTCAAGTCAATTTATTTCTTTATGTTAATAATAGTAGCCACAATTAAATCTTCCTATTTTCATCTTTATTGAAGTCTTTTATATTGCGTGTATTTTGCCGGATTATTTGTGACAGACAGATATTATCAAGATCAACTTCAAGTACCAAATCTTCGAATTACCATTAATATCTATTAATGGTATTTAAACTTTTCAAAAAGAGCTTTTAATATTTCTTCAAAATTAGAGTCTCATCTGCTGCAGCCTTGCAATATTGAAATATTTTCACTGTTTTATCATCTTCACCAACTTAACTGACTTTTGGTTACCAACCAGCCATCTGCAGGATAAATATTAAAGTGCACACGAGTGCTCTCATTCATTTATTCTCATATTTTGGTAAAACACAATCTAACACAACCAAAGAGGTCAGGCATAGAACCAATCACTTTATTTACTCGCCGAGTTGCAGGAATGTAACATTGTCAACTTTCCAAGATAAGACTACTCCAGCCAGTACTCGAACCCGGCAGATATTTCATATTTGCAGTCATACATGGCAGCCACTAGACATAGTAGTAGTGGTAAGTAAATATACCTAATACCGTATTAATTCAATCTGATCAACAAGCATATCTAGTTCACGTTCCCACTTTGAAAAACTCTTATATACGTAAAGATTTACAAATTATACCA